TATATATATATAAAGAATCATACCATAACCTTAACCACTTTTCTACACTGCCTTGTATTTCTCATCTATGTAGATGTATACTTCTACAAAACTTCAACTAACCAATACAGCTTTTTTTCATTTTGGAAAAAAACAATATAACTAAATCATTCAAAGTTGCAATATCCTATTCCCTTCTTTAGTGAAGAATTCTATTTCTATTAGGTAAAAGTGAATTTAATGATAACTTACTAAGTATAGATCAGTGCATTTGCCAATGAAAAATATTTCAAATTTTTCCCCCTAAATTCATGACAGAGTGCATGTGTGCATGAAGGAAAGAGAGCAAGCATGCAACACTCTCTATGGGGCTCAGCCATGCTGCCATCATCCCCTTCCTGTCTTCTGGGCCGCAGGATCCTGAGTATGTGTGTGTGCACCAACCATATTTTTAGGCCAACTCGGTCAGCAACTCTAATCATGCTTGGCACGTGGCTTCCAGCTCTGCAGTCCAACACATAACTAACTGGCTGGGCCAGATTTCAATTCCAATTGCTTGACTGGTTTATGTTGTTCAAATTAGGGCTAGTTTTTAAATACTGAATATAGAATCAGCTCTCGAATATTCCATAAATCCAATTTATCCATTCTTTTAGACTTTTTTTTTCTCTTTAATCCCTTATATATTTAGTGTTCATTAGCACTTTGGCTAGAGATATATGAAGGAGAAGAGAAGGTTGAAAAATAAGACAGCTGATTTTTATTTTTATTAAATGGTTATAGTGTAAGAAGATTGAGTTGTGCTATATTTAAAGTGGTAAATTGTGACTAATGCACCTAAACCTTTCCTCTATTTGTAAAGATAATAAAGAGAACTCACTGAATTTAGATTTATTCCTTACTTAAAGTTTTCTCTCTCTCTTTTTTTTTTTGGCTAACAAATACAATTTTTTGGTCAACAAATACAACTACAATGGATGTAACACTATTAATTCTTTGGAAATATGTCTAAGACATGATTTCTGGTACTTAGACTTTAATTTTAGGCGATATATCCATACCTATTTTATACAATTAAAACACATGTAATTTAAAAAAATGACTTCTGTTGAAGATTTCCCTTTGATCACTTACTGAGGGAAAAACAAACTCTAGAACATTCATAAATAACAATAAATTATCCAAATTTAAAATGAACTAAATTATTATTATATTTTAGAACTATACACATACCATCTCTTCTGCTCTAACCAAGGTTCTTTTCTTCTTTTTTTTAATTGCCAGAGGGCATGTGCACTTGCCAGAGAGAATGAGAATTAGAGAGAATGGGGGAAAGCCCCAATGTGGTGTGGTCACACCACAATCCCTTCTTCCCTATTTTTCTATACCATCAGAATTTTGGGTGCATCTGTACATGCGCCTCACATGCTTTTCAAGCCACTGGGACCAGGTTCAAACTGTGCAGTTGGCCATGGCAGATATGGCTTCCTTAATTACTAGACTGTGGGACTGGTCCCTAAGGTTATTTTCAAAAATGCTACACACACACACACACACACACACACACACACACACACACACATTTAAAACTACTACTTTCAAAGCAGTGCTATAAATGGAATATAAGTATCATTTTTTTTTTTGTAATTTGCCAGAGGGTGTGTGTGCTTGTGGGAGAGAGGGAAAGTGAGACAAGCACCTCCCATGGAGAATGGTCCTACTGCAATCCTTCTCCTCCATTTTCCCCTCCTTTTTTTAAGAGAGATTTTTACTATAGTGTGCAGCATTTGCTGGAGAGACAGAAAGAGAAAGAGAGACAGAAGTGAGAAATCACCCCCAGGGGGATGGCCATGCCACAACCCCTTCTCCTCCATTCTCTTGGGATCTTTGGCATGCACGCACATGCACCCAGTGGATGCAGGACTAGAACCGTGGTTGACTACATGGGAGTCTGCTGGTCCCCATTTCTCCCTCCTTTTAGGATTCTGGCATGCATGAACACATAGCAGGTGTGTTTTTTAAGCCATTAGGTTTGGGACTTAAAATTGATTGATCAGCCATATGGATCTAGCTCACTGAACATCAGCCCACAGGCAGGTCCTAAGAATATTGATTATTAAAAATAAATGGTAAATAATGACATTTAGAAGTCTTTGAAACAGGAAAATTCACTGTATTACTTAAGCACTAAGTTTAAAATATCTGCAATGATTTTATAATGTTTTATAAAATACATTACATTTTATAATGTATTGTAAAATAGGGCTAATAACAAATTTTTATTCCAAGAGTTAAAACCATCATTTCTGGATTTCCCTTCTGCAAAATAAGCCTAAACCCATTCCAATGCCAGGTTTCTTGTGTTTATCAGCATTTTTAGATAAATAAAAATTAGGAGTAGGAGTGAAGAAATGGAATAATTCAAATAATGGTTTTAAATAGAAAAATATGAATGAAGAGATACTATAGAGAAACTTCTCATTCTATTTTTTTTATTTATAGAGAAAGCTCTCAAAATTGGATTTCTCAGATTTGATATTAAATAGTAAGTTAAAATAGTCTTACTAATAGGATCAGTAAATTAATAGCCCTGGAAAACAGAGCTAAAATTGCTACCTTATTTAGAAGAAAAGAAATATAGCACTCTTGACTTACTTGGTCTTTTGAAGTTAAGAGTCCTTATTGTTAGTTCTTGTTTTATTCAAAAGATGTATTGGGTTGGCAGAAAAGCCATGATGCATTTTTGCATAGAAAAATATGGCATGACTTTTCCAGTGACTCAATATCATCCTACAAAACCCACCTCCAATCATTTAAAAATTCCTTTTCAAACTTATAAAATCTGGGCATGTGAGCATGTGTGCCCAAAACCTTGAGAGGAGAAAAGAGAAGAAGGGATTGCAGCATGGCCATCCCATCTGGGGAGTGATTTCTCACTTTCTGTGTCTCTGGCAAGAGCACACATCCTATAGCACAAATCTCTTAAAATATATATATATATAATTGGGTTGTCTGAAAAGTCATGATGCATTTTTTTCTGTTTTTCTATGCAAAGTGTGTCATGACTTTTCCAACAATCCAATACCTATCCATTAGCCTGATTTAACAAATGTTAACACTAGGCTGTATTTGCTTCAGATATTTTTATTCATTAAAAACAAGCAAACAAACAAACTGGAGCCAGTAGGTGATGTGGTGGTTGGGGCACTGGACTTCAACATGCCTGACCACGGTTCAAATCCTAGACCTGGTGGCTAGAAAAATCACAACAGATGCGGGAACCAGCAGTTAGCATAATGGCTATGTCGCTGAACTCCCAAGTAGTTGACCGCGGTTTGCGTCCCGGACCCAGTGGCTTAAAACTCACGCCGGGCGCGTGTGCCCAAGATCCCGAGAGGAGAATGGAGGAGAAGGGATTGCGGCGTGACCATTCCCCCGGGGGGTGATTTCTCGCTTTCTGTCTCTATGTTCTCTCTCTGTCCATCTGGCGAGCGCACGCGCCCTATAGCGAAAATCTCTCAAAAAAAAAAAAAATCACAACAGATGCATGTGTGTACGTCCAAAATCCCAGGAGGAAAACAATGGAGGAAAGCGGATTGTGGTATGGCCATACCACTTGGGGGTGATTTCTCACTTTCCTCCTTGCTGTCTCTCTCTCTCTCCTGCAAGTACATGTGCCCTATGGCAATAACCTAAAAACAAAACACCCCAAAACAGACAAATAAATAAAACTGTGATACAGTGGAATCCTCCTTTATTTTCTTTCCAAACATAAGTTTCCTTTCCAGAATTCTAGAGTAGATCATTCTCTAAAGAAGATGTGTACTCTTCCTGTCCATATTTTTATACTTTTATTACATGTATTTTCATAAACTCTAATGCCATAATGTATTATCCTTTAAAAATTACATAAATTATTCCCATGTTATCATTTTGTAATTTCCAATTTATATTCAACATTGCTTTTGAGAGAACTAGAAAGATTAACACATAAATATTTTAATTTTATGAAATATTTCATTGTAAAGATATACTGTTCAGCTATTAATGAATGTCTAGAATGTTAGTAACAAACGCAGCATAAACATCTTTGTATATGTCTCCTCAAAGATACAAAATATTTCTTTTTATATTGCTTCAGTGAACACTTTTACTTAAGCGGGTTCGGTGGATTTTTTTCCCCCCTTAAGCTAAGCACAAGGAATTGAAGAATAAAACCTGAAAGCTATTATCATTATCATCATTATTATTATTATTGGAGAGGTTTTTTGCTATAGGGCGCGTGTGCTTGCCAGAAAGACAGAGAGGCAGAAAGTGAGAAATCACCCGCCAGGGGGGATGGCCATGCTGCAATCCCTTTTCTTCCGTTCTCCTCTCGGAATCTTGGACATGCATGCACACGTGCCCAGTGTGAGTTTAAGCCACCGGGTCTGGGACTCGAACCGTGGTCTACTACATGGGAGTCCAACAACATAGCCGTTAGGCTAACTGCTGGTCCCCTGAAAGCTATTCTTTAATCTAGAATCATCTATGTCTTACTATCTACCTGGTAGTTTAATCTTTTATTTCTTTGCTAAATCTTTTGATATTAAGAAAAAATAACACTAAGATATATAAAACCTAAGCCTGTATTCTTCTTGGAAACAGTTCTTCTATTCAGGAACATGTAAGTCATATGTTTGAATATACAGAGCTTCTGCTTAGAATTCTAGTGGTTGACTACCTCAGGAAAATACTAGGTTATTGGGAAAGTCATGATCCATTTTTCTTTTTTTTTTTTCTATGCAAAAATGCATCATGACTTTCCCGACAACCCAGTAAAATGAGGAAGATGTGTTATGTATCAGCATTTGAATGTTGCTTTTTGCAGAAGCTAGATTGAAAAGTCTTGCTCACTTTCTCCCCATGTTCTGCCTACTAAAACTGTGATAGAATACTGACTAGATTAAACAGGAAGTCTATGGAACCTGTTTTCTCATTTCTTACTTCCTTTAGGGAATAAACCTGACAGCACAATCTACCTTTGTTTGCTTTTCTCTTGGTATTCCTGATTTCACTTTATCATGTGGCTGATCAAGAGTCAAATTATTCTTCCTTGTTTCACTGTCTTCAGCCAGGGGAACATAGCCATAACTGTCATCTGCAAGACAAAAATGTCCTCTTGGACATCAGTAGGCAACGCTTATTTTTGGTACCACCTGAGAAAGTAAAACTAACATATACCAAAAACCATAATTTTAGAAGAACAGAATTTAAGCAATGATTTTTTTTATAGAGGTTTTTGCTATAGGGTGCGTGCGCTCGCCA